TAACATTTCTAGGCAATGAGTTTAAAAAGAAAAGCAAAAAGGTCAGCACCTTAAGACAGGAATATAGACATAACCATACTAATGATAAATATGCTTTGTGTTAAGCAAAAAATAAGTATTTCTAGAATGATAAAGAGCAAGGCTGGGCTCATATATCTGCATAGTAGACATTAAGTATGTATTAGCTTTTTCATCACTGTGACCAAAATACCCGGCAAGAACAACTTAGAGGAAGGAAAGTTTCTTTTGACTCAAAGTTCCATAGGGTTAGTCTGTGGTTGGCCAAGTCCATTTCTCTGGGCCCCAAAAGAGGCAGAACAGCATGGCTGAAGGGCGTGGTGAAGAAACACAGGTTCACAAATTGCACATTCTAATATTTCACTTGTGAATATGCTTGTGTTAATATAGGAGCTTTAGGGGAACAGTTCATATCCAAACCATAACAAGATAAGAATAAGGATGAAGCCTCAAAGACCATATTATTAAGTCTTATTAGAAGTATAGGGGAGCTTTGCTCATGTGGAACAATATTTGCCACTTATAAATTTTTACTCTCTTTTAAAAGTACATAAGTGGCAAACTAAATTGAACTGAATAACTAAACTTTAAAACAGTAGATTTCAGACTAGCGATATAACTAAGTGGTATTAGAGTGCTTGTTTAGCAAGTGTGAGGCCCTATGTTTGATCCTTAGCACCTCAGGAAAAAAAATAAAATAGATTTTGTATATGCTAATACAAAAATAGAACAGTACTGTGAGGATGTCCAAATTTTACCTCTGAATTACTTTACTAATTCAAAGCTCCCTCATTTGTAATACCCATCATAATATTAAAACCAATTGGGTTTTAATATTATGATGGGTATTACATCATAATATTAACCATCATTACATTAACCAAAGTTGTGCAACATATTAATCTTAAAWAAAAGAGTAGGAATACTGTAATAGCTATCAAAGGTTAAAAATAATAATTACAAGGAATAATAAGAACCATTTTCAGATGACTTTTACAATAACTAGTAAACAAATCTCAACACCATAGCACTTATCTTAACTGGCATTTGCAAGAATGGTTTATCCACCATCGTTTTCATTTTTCTTCAGTAGAAAGAAAATAAACAACAATAACAAAAACTAAAAGTATTTAGGATACATCTATTTTACTAGKGTCTCCAAAACACTAACATGTTATAAAAGGCTTTTTATTTTCCTAAAGCAGTAAACTAGAATTCTTTTATATCAAAAGTAGAGAGGATCTAAGATCAAATATTAGAATCAAATATTAAATCTCTTAGAGCAGGAAACTTGCTTCATGATTCAAAAGCATGAAGAAAAGCAGTGGGAAAATACAAAGAATACATAATTGTATAATCATAAAGAAAATGCACTTTCTCCACTAAGAAAAATAATTATCTCACTCACTTCTTAATAATAATAGAATTCAATTCAAAGTCGCATTTGAAAAACTACTAATAAAAATGAAAAATATGTAATGCCTTCAAAGAATTTTTTTTTTACTATTTTCCAAAGTTGGAACTTAAACACCTAAAGGAAAAACAAATATGAAATTACAAATTGGTATTTGTAACATGAACTAAAATGTTGTCTCAATAACTTTTACATAAGATAACAAGTTCTCATAGCTAATATTTTGAAAGATAAATGTAATACTGCTTCAAACAGGCAAAATCTGTTATTTTACATGAAAAGAAACTTCAGAGAAATGTTTGCAAAGCAGACTTGCTTTGCTCTTGATTATAGTTTTTAAACAAATGTGCTTAGAAAACCTAAACAATTTAACCTCATTTTCCCTTRGTAGAAATTTTAGATTTGTTTCAGTAAATCCATCTTATCAATTGTACCTTTCAACTTTGAAAAAATAAATCTAATACATAGCGATGTTTTACATCAATTTGAGATAGACATATAATTTTCCCCAATACAACCACATCTGAAAATACCTTATTAAATTTTAATGTAAGATAGCTGCTATATCTTAATTTGATAAAGTCTTATTTTTCATTACAAAACAGAATAGAGTTCTTTGGGTCATATGATTGTTGTGCTTAACATTTTTGTTTTTTAGTTTCTGTTTTCAGTTAGCAAAGAAGCTTAAAAAGTAAAACTTTCAGTACTTAAATAAAATGAACATAATAAATTGTAGCTAGATAATTCTGCTACTAAAGTAGGTGTACAACAGTAGCCAGCCTGACTCAGGAGATAACCTTTTCATATTATTTTAATAATGTACCATTTTTTAAAAAGCTAACAATTTCACTTTCATACCTGTGTTGAAAACGGTTAGAACTTTTGTTTTTAATGCACTTTTAAGTAATACAACTAATATAAAGACCTAATTCCCACTAATATAACCATATAATATTGTAACTACTTTCATAAAGAAGTTTAATCCAGGGGCTGGGGTTGTGGCTCAGTGGTGGAGTGCTTGCCTAGCATGTGCGAGGCGCTGGGTTCAATCCTTAGCACCACATAAAAATAAATAAAAGAAAGACTTTAAGAAAAAAGAAGGAGAAATTTAATCCAAGTGGATTAGCTTTCAGTATCCATCAATTTGAGATAGACATATAATTTTCCCAATTGCATGAGGTAATAATTTTTACTTCCTCAATCTCCATTTTTATTACAGCTATATGCTAGTAAAATTTTTATGTATGTCAGTTACATCTGTTGATGTTTACAAGTATATGGCCACTTGAGTTTTTCAGAATTATTTTGTCATTAAATAGGATATGCCTCTTTTATTCAAAATGAAACAATGTTTCAACATGATGTCATTAAACATCAATAATGATTAGAATTCAGTAGATTCCAGTAGAATCACAATGAATCAAACAAGTACACCTAGCTATATTTAAGAGCAAAACTAAGCAAGAATCTGTTGTAGGTAGAGGAATAGTTACTACAAAATTTTGCAGCAATTTATTATCTTAAGGTAGAGTGTTACCTCCTAGAAAACAGAAAAAGTTTGTTCTCAAATTTGTTTTAAAGCAATTGAAGTTGGTTAGRGATGTAGCTCAGTGGTAGAGCACTTGCCTAGCACGCACAAGGCCCTGGGTTCAATCCCTAGCACCGAAACAACAACAACAAAATACAACTGAAGTATTCCTTAAAATGATTCCATAATAAAAGCAAATTGGAAATTATGAAAAGCCACTAGGCAACTCATGGTTGGAGAAAGATCCAGGTTTAACTGCCTGGCCACGCTCCTTATAGAAATTTATGATCTTAGGCAATATTCCTAACTTCATTTAGCCTCTATTTCTTTATCTGTAAAACTGGTCACTATATTGAATAGGAAGAAAAAAATAAATAGGGTGTTACAAACCAAATCTTACATGCAACAAGGACATGAACCTGGATTCAGGTAAAACTGCATAATGCATATTTTGTCAAGAGACGTCATTTTACTGTTCAATTAACACTTCAGATCCACAGTAGATTCCCTGGAGGTTAGAAGAATATCTGCTTTTAAGACAAAATCACTCTGGAGAAGAAAAAGTCTAGCACCCAGAAGAGTACTATACAGGGTGAGTTCTTAATAAACACTTGTTGAATGACTTAATGAACTGTACCTTTCAGACATAAACTGTAACTTTCCAGGAAACACGGACTTACTGGACAAACTTTCCATATTTTATTCTGAAACCAAGTCCCTTCCCTCAACCAAGGGATTTAAACTATTGCTTTCATCAAATTATTTCCAAAAGCTTATAAGTTAGAAATTGTTATTCCTAAAGTAATGAAAAGAATGACTTTCAAAAGCTGTCGAGTAAAACTGCTTTAGTTACACGGTATGAAATGAAACTGACTGAACTTGACATTGCTGGGAACAAAATCCTTCCTACTGAGAAAGGAAGCTAAAGGGCTGAGATATCCCCGCCCTCGTCCCCAACACACACACACACCAGTCCCACATACAGGCTCTAAAGATGATGGCGAGCAGGAAAGAAGATTGCCCACTCAGGTCTAACACTAAATCTGCTTGTTTACTTGATGCCTCTTGTCCCCTTTTGCCTCCTCTTCCGGCCAATTAATTCTACATCTAGGTATCAGCTGCATTTGTTTCTATAAATTATAACTGCTTTTATGGGATGAAGGGAGAGAAGGAATATTGCTGCTTCTCCCAGGTTTGATCAAACTGCCTAACGTTCATTCTTCCCTTTTCCATCTTTTGTCTATTTCTTATGTGGGGGACACATCCGGCCAGCCAGAGGGATCCTGGGCTCGCTGGCCAGCAACAGTAAGCAGGTGGGATTTGAACTTGCACTTCCGGGGCTTCAAAGTCAGGGCTGTTTGTGATTCACTAAAGCTTGTACCACACTTGTCTCCTTTACCGTCCACTTGTCTCCTACAATTGTCTGGTAGGCAGGACATTTTTTACATTTTAAACTTTTTTTACTCTCTTTTTCTAGGTTGCCAATCCTTTGATTTCACATTCCCTCCAACGTTGGGCTGTTTCAACACAACAACGGGAGTGATGCACTAACTCCAGGAGTCAAGAGTACAGGCTCCAAGACCAGGAAATCTCTWTTACTCCTTACGGAGGTCTGGTGCCACTACCCCCAGCGACAGACAGGCTGGGGTCCAGAGAGGCTGCAGACCGCGCCCAGGTCTCAAGTTTTAGTTAAGGCCCACGTTCAGACTAGAAGAGGGGAGAAGAGAGGGTTATCCTTTCCCAACCCCCTCGCCACGGTGGAAGCATACAGAAGGCTGGAGTCGCAGTAACCGGAGCAAACAATAAACCCGAAAGCCCCTCTTAAGCCCGTTGAACGCACTTACTAGAGCGAAGTAATTCCAGGACGCTAGGCCGGCACCGGCAACTGAAGGGGCTGCTCTGTCCTCCAGCCCCGGGAGCTGGCGGTGACGACATCTGCGCCGCGCCGCACGGAGAGAAAGGCCCAGCGCGAAGCCACGAACTCCGCGCACAGAGCGCGCGTTTACGGAAGGGGCGGGGTGGTCTGGCGGCGCCACATTTAAGCGTCATGGGTGGGGCTGCCGCTTGCAGACCCAGGATTTGAACATGTCGCGCCTGCAACGGGTAGCCGGGCGGGATCCGCGAGCGGGTTTCAGAGCTGAGGGGAGAGACTGCACTACTTCTGTGCCCCAGGGGCTGTTAAAGGCGGCGAGGAGGAGCGGACAGTTAAACTTGTCGGGTAGGAACCTCAGTGAAGGTAAGACTCAAAGGTGCTACCAGTGCCGTGCGGGCAGAAAGCCCTAGCTCAAGGCAATCTCCTTTCCTCGAGCTTGGCTTTGCCTCTTAGCCAGGATCCCTGTGCGGTAATCCAGGCACTCTTAACATTTGGACTGACATGGCCTCCCAGTTTCCTTACTTCTCTGGCTCCAGCATCTGTTGGAGGTACCCTTCGGGACTATGGACAAAATTTAAAGCGGACGCTTTCAGGGACTCCCGCATAAGAAGGAATAGGCAACATAATGGTAGAGTAAACTACCTATCAGATATTGGGAAAATATTTTCTTTGACTCTTACTTTCTTTTTCTCAATTTGTTCTCTAAGGAAAATTACCGACGCTAAAATTCTGTATTTTATCTACTCCTTTGTGAGCCTTGAGTGAATGCGAGACCTCTTCTTTATGAACTTGGGTAGAGTCCTAATGACCAGAAATGATGAGCAGGTTTTCTAAATTGAGGATTGGAATAAACGCTACACAAAGTCCATGAATTTGAGGCCACTCTGAAAAACCTGATAAAGACAAAGAAACAGTAATCTGGGTATAACAATGAAAGGCCAGATGCTTTTGGAGTGGCCTGTGCGTGGGGGTAAGGGAGCAATGAGGGAGAAGTGGAGAAATAAAGCATTCTTCCTGTAAGATTTTCCTCTACTTACATTCAGCTTTTTACACTGCAATTAAAACCTTCCATTTTCCTTCTAATGAATATTAACTTATTGTACCGTGAATAATGTAAACCAGGCAAACAAATACTTTACTGAATAAATGAAAGGGTATATGGCATAAAATCCTTGCTTTATTTATAAGAATTTTTATAGATGGGGCATAAACACTTTGAAACTACAGATAAGCTTTTTTCTCCCCACCCAACCCAGTCACTCTCCCTCTCCCTCCCTTGCCTCCTTTTCCCATATATATTTGCTTTTTCCAAAGTCGAACATTTTCTTTTTTGACTCTCTTGCTTCCTTTAGGGTTTTTGCTCAGAGCTCAATTCCAAGAGGCCCTTCCAAACCACCATAATTACCACTGGTAACACACTGTTGTCTCACCTGTTTAATTTTTTAAATAGAATCAGTATAAGGACTTACATAATTTAATTATTGCCTACCTTGCCCATTAGTTAGACTGTTACTTCCTCAAGGTCAGGTAGCTTTCTTTTGTTCATTGTTGTATCCCTAGCTCCCAAAATAGTGTTTGCTGTATTGTAGGATCTATTTGTGGCCACGATAAGTAAATGAGTGAATATTCACCAGTGCTAAGTGATGTTTTGGAATGTGTTTATTGACTAGATCCATGTGATTTAGTGTGTCGAACTTTTAGGTAGAAAATTTGGACTCTTAGGTTCATGCCGATATGGATCAGGACTGTTTAAGTTGTACTGAACCTGACACAGTAACTGTTGTGTTCAGTGAGTGAATATATAATATTTCATAGGATGAAGAAGGTATAAATAGGAAAGGCTTGTGGTATTTGTAGCTTATATATGAAAAAGGGATTTCTGTTACCATAATATAGAAGATCTTTCCCTAACTGGCTTTAGACTTCAGTTTCATGTCTTATCACTCTAAACTTTGATATTCAAATCACTATCATTCTGTACTATTTGTATTCCTTTTGGGGATAACCCTCATTATCTCCATTTCTTAGCTCATATAACATGGAGATGTTCCTTAGTTTTTCACTTATAATGAAATAATAAGACTTACTGAGGTTTATATAAGTAACATAGGTAAAATGCCTACTACATAAAATAAAATTGAGCATTTCTGTTATGGTATGGCCTGATATCCTGGGCTTCTCACTTTAAACCTCACTCTCTTCGTGTCATTACAAGAGTTACCTTCCCAACACAGATTTTACCATATCTCACAAAACATTTTAATAACATTTCATAGCTCACAAGATGCAATATAATGTTCTCAGCATAACATTCAAAAGATTTTCATAATCTTGTCCCCAACCGTCTACTTTGTGGTTTCCCATCTCTTTTCAGCATCTTATTCTTTTTTTTTTTTTTTWTATTTACTTTTCAGTTTTCGGTGGACACAACATCTTTATTTTATTTTATGTGGTGCTGAGGATCGAACCCAGCGCCCCGCKCATGCCAGACAAGTGCGTTACCGCTTGAGCCACATCCCCAGCCCCAGCATCTTATTCTTTAACAACAATAATAACAAAGTGTTGCCTTTTCCCCAGTTACACTTGTACATTCTTTGATAACTATTTTAGGTTTATAGAAAATTGAGCATATTGTACATTGTGTTCTCATTTACCTCCTCCCCCTCACCACTTACATTTTTCTCTTTTAATAACATCTTGCATTACATCAGGTACATTTTTAATAATTGATGAGCCAATAATAACAACACTATTATTAACTGAAGTTTATAATTTACATTAGGATTCACTGTTAGTGTTGTATCATTTTATGGGTTTTGACAAGTTCATATCATGTATTTACCATTATACTGTCATGCAGAATAGTTTCACTGCCACAAAAATCCCTTGTGCTGTACACATTTATTCCTTACCTACCTTCCCCCAATAAATAATAATGAAGCTTATGTGAAAAGGCTTATGAGAAAAGGAATTATGTGAAGGTATCATTAATTTTTATTTTATTTATTTAGTACCTAGCACAATATCTGGAAGAAACATAAATAGTTGATAAATAACATACTATTTAAATGCATATTTATATACCTTCACATATCATACATAACACTTTCACATGTTATATTTCACATGAAATATCTTGTATATATGTGGAAAGCAATCTGAAAGAAGACATGTTTCAAAATATCTTTTGAATATAATTCATAATTCAAAGTAATAATATTTGGAGGCACAAATAAAGATAACGAGAAGGCTTTTTTTTTTTTGGTACTGCCAGCGAGAATTTAGGGGTGCTTAACCACTAAGGCATACCATCAACCCCTTCTCCTTTTTTTTTTTTAGTTATTGATAGACCTTTATTTTATTTATGTGGTGCTGAGAATTGAATCCAGTACTGCACACATGCCAGGCAAGTACGCTACTGCTGAGCCCCAGCCCYAGCCCCTGTATTTTTTATTTTGAGACATCTAGATAAATTGCTGAGGCTGGCTTCAAACTTGCAATCCTCCTGCCTCAGCCTTTGCAGCTGCTGGGATTACAGGTGTGTGCCACCAGGCCCAGCATGAGAAGACTTTTAAAAATATTTATTAAAAGTATAGCAGTGTAGCAGTGTACAGACTGGATCAAGGGAAAAGTTTATTGGAAAAAAAAATCACCATCTACAATTGTTTTGGTTATGTCAAAAAACATTACTGAAACTTCTTTCCAGAACACTCTAAGAACCATAACCAACAGGCTACTGGCTACTTTTATATTACTCATGGAACCATCAATTAGGTAGCAGAAACAAGTGACATAAAAAGACAAATATGCTCCACATGAAGAAAAGTAACAACCCAATTTAAAAATGGGCCAAAGTTCTGAAAAGACCCCTAACCAAAGAAGATATATATATGRCAGATGTGCTTATAAATATATATTCGACTTTATTCATCACTAGGAAACAGCATATAACATAACACATCTAGTAACATGACTAAAATCCAAAAACCTGATAATACCAAATGCTGGTATGGAGCAAAAGGAGCTTTCATTCATTTGCTTGTGGAAAGATAAATGGTAGTGTCACTTTGGAAGACAGTTCGACAATTTCTTATAAGGCTAAACATAGTCTTATATGATCCAGTGATCATGCTTCTAAGTTTTTACGTAAATTGAGTTGAACACTTACATCCCCTCAAAAATCTGAACATGAATACTTATAGCTGATTTATTCTTAATTGCTCCAAATTGAAGCAACCGAAATATCTTCAAGAAGGTGAATGTATAAACAAAATGGTACATCCATATGATGGAATATTATTTGACAATAAAAAGAAATGAGCTATCAAGTTATCAGAGGATCTCGAGAAGCCTATTTCTTAGGGGGAGATATAAGAGGAGAAAAGGCAATCTAAAAAGGTTAGATACAGATATGACTTAAATTATGAGACATTCTACAAAGGGTGAACTACAGAAACAGTAAAAATATCCGTGGTGACAGCTGTTTTTATGAACAGCAGCAGAATATATCATCTCTTTGTTTCAATGTAAATAGTGCAGCTCTTTTTTTCACTGAGCTAGATAAAATGAGGACCGAGTGATAAAGAAAATATGGATTGTTGCTTTCTGGTTGCATAATCATGGCAGAACAATAGTGTAGAAATGTTTTTAAGTGTTTCATCTAACACTAAGGAAAATGAAAATGTGCCACAGTTTGAGAAAAAAGAATGTGCAAATTCTAATGGAAACTACTTGAGCTTTCTCTGCGGAATCACCATGGCGGCTGGGACCCTGTACACATACCCTGAAAACTGGAGGGCCTTCAAGGCCCTCATCGCTGCTCAGTACAGTGGGGCTCAGGTCCGCGTGCTCTCCGCACCACCCCATTTCCATTTTGGCCAAACCAACCGTACCCCTGAATTTCTCCGCAAATTTCCTGCTGGCAAGGTTCCAGCATTTGAGGGTGATGATGGATTCTGTGTGTTTGAGAGCAATGCCATCGCCTACTATGTGAGCAATGAGGAGCT